GGAGGGGACAGAGGGGCGGGGCCTGGTGCCACTTGCTTTGTGCTCAAGGTGTCCCCCAAAGCAACGGTCGCCAACCTTCCGAACCTCGTGCACCACCAGGGTCCGCGCATCACCCGTTGGCGACCACTGCTCCAAAGACATGGCCGGTGAGAGGCCTGGCCGCCCAGCCACACTGACGGGTGCCAGGACTCCGGGAGCAGCCCCAGGCGGGCGCTGGGTTCTGTGCTGAGACCCACTCTGCCTGTCAAGGCCCAGACGGGTCCCCTCCTGCCCGGCTGGTCCGCTCCGAGCTGGTCCCTGCTCCCCCACTGGGTGCGGTGCTGGAGGGGCAGGGAGAGCAGGGCCACGAGGCTCCCTCCGGAGTCTGCAGTGGGGGGGTGGGGGGGCAGAGCGGTTGGGGAGAATAGGACCCCGTGTGGGCAGAGGCAGAGGGGCCGTGGGCTCTGAGGGGTCACAGCGGCTGAGCTGCTCCGGCCTCTTCCGGAAGGAGGGGCGTGGGATGGAGCCGCGAGGAGAGGGCACAGCAGGGGAGGAGCCGGGCTGTTGAACTGGTTTCATGTCAGGGTTCGCTGGAGCAGTCATGGGGGACAGCGGGTGATCTCTCACCTTCGGGCCGGGACACCCCGCTAAGTTAGATTCAGATCAACATGCACCTTTGTAGGGTGATTCTGTCCCAGACTCCAGGCGATATCTGGTACTGCAAACGGGGGCTGGGAACACAGATGTTGCTCGGGGCGTGCTTATGCTAAAAGGAAGCGTTCACCTGAATTCAGGAGCAGCCGCGCACCTTGGCGATTTTCTGCTAAACCCGCAGCCCTACCTTTGTGCCAAAGGAGTTGGTCTTCACCAGGCGGTGGAGGGAGAGGATCCTGCTGGACCTGGGCACTGGGCCCCACGCACAGCGGTGGGGGGTGGGGGCCTCCCCAGAGGCAGGGAGGGTGTGAGGAGGCTGGGAAGGAGCCCCAGCGAGCAGTGCCAACCGCCATGGTTGTCACAGGTCAGAAAGAAGAAGTAGCTTAAGAGGCACAGCCTGGCATGGGCTGGGAGGAGGCACCCACTTTGCTCGAGGGTCTGGCTTGGGGGGAAGGGCGAATGGAGCCACTGGCTGGGGGGCGGGGAGGCTG